AAAAGAAAACAAATAACAAAATCGCAATTATAAACAATAAGCAGTTCAAAAACCTTTATAAATATATATATATTTACATATATATTTCACTAGAAAAATTTTTATGCATAAACTAAAAAAGAAAGCAAACAATCTATATTATCAATGTTTTTGCTCTAAATGTCTAACTAATTGTTAAAAAAATAATAATGAACAAATTATTTTCAGCAGGCAAGGACGTGTTAAATTAAATATAACGTACGCTATAAATGTGTAATTATTTGTTAATAATGGCAGATTATATCGATACTTGAAAGTAAAAAGTTAATAACACGTTATGACATTTCACAGAAACTGTATATTGTACATTTTACTTTAAACCTAATGGAAAGTATTTACATTAACAAGCAAGAGTAAAACTAAACATATTTAAAGTTTGTTTTCAATTGATTCGTTTCTCAACAAGTTGGCGGCACTATAGAAAGCGATTTAAGCATAATTTAACTAATACGAAAAACATTTTACTTACGCATAATATTAACAAGGAATGACAAATAATGAAATGTTAACAACATATTTTACAGTGCAGCAAACTCAAATAAGATACCAACAACTAAGAAACACATATTTTATTGCCGGCAAACAATTAACAGGCTTTTTATTGAAAATAAAATATACGAAATAAAAACGTTAATTAAAGGTTATGAGCAAAGTACGTTGAAGCATTTGCATACGAAAATAAAATTACACGCAGCAATTTCCATAAATATAACATCGTAAAAAAAATAAATCAAACAAATAACAATATCAAATATTTATTGGTATATGTATGTATCACAAAAAATATATTATTTAGTTGACTTATTAAGCTGGACATTAATTTATAACATTTAGACAAAAGAGCTGGCCAATAATAAAATTGGAAAAACCTTAAAGTTAGCGAGAAATAAATAAATATATCCATAAAATGCCACAGAAAATTGAATTTCAAGTTATATTTAGAGCGCATACTAAAGGAGTACCAGTACACGAAACCCCATGCAAAGTTTGGAAACAAGGCAACCAATAAACTAAACACGAAAAGAAGATCATTTGTATAAGATTTAGTGACAAACCGACAAATTATACTAGTCTACATATATAAATACATAAATATATGACAACAATTTAATGAGAATAACATCAAGTAACGTAATAAAATGAAAGTGTATAACTATTAAAACTAACAAAACAAAGAAGTCTTTATTTTATTCACAAGCTAACAGTATTTTTTTTTTCAAAGATCGAACGGTAATTAAAAAACTTTCATACAAACGTTTTCCGCCAATTTTCCACTGCTGCGGGTGAAATTTCCCAAATAGCTGAAACACGTATTCTTATGTCGTCTTAAGTATGTAATGCAAATCGGATAAAACTTAAAAGCCCAAACAAATTTTTTGAATCGCATTTTCCACCGAGGAAGCTTGGATTCTGTGAAAAGTGTGAAACACGTCTCAAATTATTTTTCTAATAGATCTTTGAAAATAAATCTAAAACCCGGAACGTCACCCACCTTTACACCAAGGATGAATGTATTTTTCGAAAAGTGTGGAACACCCCTTAAATACATTTGAACAGAGATCCTTGAAAGTTTATTTGAGGACGATCGGATGGTAAGCAAAAAGTTTCATACAAACGATTCTCGCCCAACCGGCCGAGGGGCGGAGTCGTGCAACAAATGCGAACTACGAATATACACTAAGACTATCTACTTGCTTAATAGTATAGAATAGATGACCTTATTAGAGGAAGAAAAGATTCCGAGCAGAATACTCTTAATGCTTGTTATAATAATCACACAAAACCCTGTCATATGACAACTTTATGATATAGTTTGTCTTATTAAGTTATATGACTAATTTTCGATTATTTACATTTTTAAAGTACTTGTAAGAGAAGTTCACACTTTAGATTCGAACTAAAAACATGAGAAGTGGAGAGTATATGCTACAACATTTTGTTCTGGGCTTAAAAAATATTCAGGTCAAAAACTCTTAATTGCCGTTTATGAGAATGGCTTGATAAAGTAATCGGACGTAGTCTGAAAGAATAGTTGTACAGATCTGTAGAACTGATTTTCTATATATTCCATAATGCCTACAGCGTAAATATTAAAACGTGCTTCTTGATTCATAAACAAAATAGTTTTATACATTTTTAACAGATTTATTCACAAAAATTTAATAACATTTACTAGACAGGCTATACAATTTTGAAAACAATACACATTGAATTAATCTATAAAAATTAATAAGCATGCGATTGTTTAAAATACAAAATACATAATTGCCCAATAATTACAAAATCTTAAAATATTAAAAATCTCTAGTTAAAAATGTTTGCCGAACAAACATCTACGAAATCCAAGGGACTGACTGCCATATATATTTTAATGCTAATAACACAATTTTTAAAGGGAAATGCCCTGAACCCCTACCCCCAGTGACTAAATGCAGGTGCAACTCCACTAGACAATTTTGACAACATAGATATAGCTACACAATTCAATTAGGATTACCGATAATGTGACGATCCATAGCGTGGACTGCGACGATGCGACTCGGATTTTTCATACGTAATGCTCTTGAAATGATTGCTTGATTCAAGTGGCTGCCTGGGCGCAGATCCACCACGATTTACTACCAAATCCTTCCATATCATCGCTATCAATATAAAGAAAGCGCCGACAATCTTGTTGAAAAACTCGATCAACTTAAAAACGATTGGTGTGGCGGTGTGTGTAAATCGGCTGAGCTCAAAAAGAAAACGCACCGCAAAGATGCCCATGAAACGGAGCGCAACAACTGCGCCGCTCAATATCGAAAAGATAAGCAGACCCAGGAAACGTAGGGTTCCCATTATATTGCGCTTGTTCACATCGTTGGCCATAAATTCGTACACAGTCGTTACAACTGACTGACGCCATTGCTGTAGAACAGCCAGAAAATCATCCAGACCAATTTGCGCTGGCTTTTCCTCGCTGACGACATCATCAGCTCCTCCTGCCTCAGCACTAACACCAGATGTAAGCGCTCTGCTGGGGCTGCCTCTTTTCATCGAAAGAGAGTGTCGTAGTGTCGGTGTTGAATCTGCCTCAACTGCGCGGATCATTTTCAGTTTAAGCTGCACCTCCTGACCTCGAAACCGTAGTGTTCTAATGCTGAACCAGTATTCCCCAAATGCCAAATCACTGAGCTCCGTCCAAACGCAGGTGTCCAGCTGTGCAGGATGCGGTGTATGCTTATAGCTGCCCACGCTGCCTTTGGTAATACCCACCCACATGTTGGGCACGAAGCGTTGATAAAACAGTTGTAGTTTCGCTGCGCTGCTTAGCAACTGCTTCTCCAGATCACGTTCACTGCGCTGCAGGGCTATAACATCGCGATACCCACCAAGCTGCTCGACAAAGCAACGCTCGAGGTAAATGCCTCGAAAAAGTCGCGATTTGTATAGCTGTTTGGTAAGCGATTGCATGGCTAGCTCCTCGGGCGGCATGAATCGGACCCCAGCTGCTGGAACCACACCTGTCCCCGCTGTGCTGACAGCTGCATCCGTTTCGGTCATTGTTGGGAGTTGATTCTATGTAAATGTTAAGTGTGCACAAATTAGGCTATCGACAGTGCTCAGTTTACCTTTACCTGCTTTGCTGCAATTGTCTCTTGGACTTCAACTTTCGCCTCTTAGTCACCAAAAGGTTTTGTTATTGTTATGGGTAATCTTGAACAAATCTTGGCACTTGTAAGGCAAAATTGTGTCTGCCTGTCCCTTAATTACGCAAAACCTATGTTATATTATTGCCTAATGTGGTAGGTAGCAATAATGCATATTTGCACGCAAATAACTCTATAACAAATTGTTTACAACTAGTTGCAAGAAATAATGTTTTAATGTTATCGACTTTGTAATCGATTACAGTATACAATTAAATACCATTTTGGCATAGTCGGTATTTTTAGGGCTTTTTGGATTACTGCGGCCACACTCAGTGTGTGACAACAAAACAAAATAGTACCAAAAACATTTTTGCATTTTATACATTTTTCTATATACACGTTTCTACAAGTCTCTGTCAAAATTGGCTCCAAACACCGTCTCAGAGATTATTATATAAGGATGACATTGGTGGGGTTGGCAGCCCGCAAGCTGGCTCAAAAGCAGCGGTAAGCTAATCACAAAATAACCAAAAGAAACGTAACTGAGAATTTTATACGCAGCTCTGCAAAGTTGGCCGCTGCTTTTCCAAACGGCATTCGCTGTCAGAAATGTCTGAATTTGGGACACTGGAGCTACGAATGTAAGGAAAAACGAAAATACGTGCACCGTAGCTCACGCACAAAGCAGCTTAGCAAACATTTAGCTGAGAAAAGCGCGAACGCCGCAGAGTCTACGGCGGCCAGTGAGGCACGTTCTCCAGATGCCGGCACAGAAGTACGTCTAGATAGCGAGAAGCGCGTTAAACGTAAAAGAAAGCGCAGCAACAGCTCTTCATCATCAAGCTCTTCAGATAGCTCGAAAGGCAGTTCGGAGTCATCAAATTCGGATTCCAGCAGCAGCAGTAGCGACTCGGATAGTTCCAGTTCCGATGAAGACGACAATGGCAGCTCCTCCGATGGTGAATCTAGTTCCTCTAGCGACAGTGAAAACGACGACTCCAGTTCCAGCAGCAAAAGCAGTGACAGCGCCGACGAACAGGAAAACTCGTCACCTAAAAAGAAAAAACGGCGCGATAGCTCGGATGAATCGTCCGATGGCGGTGTCCAAGATGCGTAGAGCTGGCCCGAATAATAATAATTGTAACAATGCGTATAATACATAGCATAGCTTTAGCAGTTTAGTTTATTTTTTCCCGGGTGCTTTCACCAGATTAACAAAAAATTGCAACATGTCATAATTCATTTCTTTTAAAATAACCTAAGTTACCTAAAATTAGAACGCATTTGTGTTTGGAATTCTTTTAACTTAGCTAAATTCGTACCAATAAATGACTAACAGCTGTGAAATTGATTAGTCCGAATCGGTTTCCACTTCAAACGTCTGCAACTCGCTTCCGAATAATTCCAAGTCAATTTGCTGCCGATTAATTTGCTCGTTGGGTGTAACTATGCTTTGAGCAGAGGCTTCAACTTCAAGATTAGAACTGGGTGGAACCATAGAAATCGTTCGATGTACCGACTGTGATTTTAAATGCAGCTCCTCCACCTGAAAGTGGGAAATGTTCTTTCAACTATTGCGTCTGTGTGGATGCCCTTACCTTAAGGGAATTCAAGGCTTCCTGAACAACTGGAAGCACTTTGACTAGCTTCCTTTCTATGGCATATAAGTCAGCCTGCTCCTTTTGTAAGACACGGTTCGATTGCAGCATATTAACTAAGTTGGCAGCAAAGACAAAACAACTGTAGAGTTGCCAAGTAACGCTTGTTTTTACACTGTTCAGCTAACATTTTGCCCAAGTGTTATTTTCACTTTACAATAATCTTAATCTTTCTCTTTTGCAATGCATTGTAATGCAGTTCACTGTAAAAATTACTAAACCCCTTATGCTTAATATGAAACAAATTATTTTCGATAATAATTGTGAAGAATTTGCGAATGTTAATTTAACAGGCGCAAACTAACTTCCAACGCTATCTGTAGCAGAGCCATAACAGGACCATAACATAGCAAATAATTATCGCACTTATTTTAAAGTTTGTATTTTGCAGTATAACGCGCGCATTCATAACTTTTAAGAATTATTAAAGAATATTATGTGCATTTCGTAAAAAATTGCTCCTAATTATTTGACGAAATTGAGAATATATATTTAAATTGATTGCTTTAAGAAACGGGACGGACAGGCTTCATTACAAAAAAAAAGTGTGACCAACCTCACTGCGCTGCGTCGCATTTTGATATTCGCGCCGAAAGATACGTAAAATTAAGAACTTTTCGAGCAATTTTATATACCAGGCAAGTAATATTGCAAAGTAAAGTATGCACTGTACAGCTAAAACATTATTTTCTTTTTGTTGCAGCACACGAATGATGAAGATCGAGGACAAGGGGACAATCCTTCAGCGCTTCGTTGCAAACTGTCAGAAACTAAAAATTGAGCAGAATATTTGGCAAAAAGCTATTAAAACATTTCATAAACTAAACGTTGATGGCGTCCTATCAAATGAGGCTGACGACTGGCTCTGCTGCGCTGTATACAGCGAGCTGCAACAGACCAAAATGAAGGACATGCGGCAAGAAGTGGTCAACACAAAAACAGATGACAATGAACCATGGGATAAAAAGGCGCGATGCCAAAGCTGGAACATATCGCTGACCAAACTGCTACGCAGCTTTAGTATAAACATTAACAAGTTCCTAAAACGCATGGAGCATTGGAACTGGCTCGCGCAGAATGGGGAGGTCTTTCAGCAGGAAGTAAACGACCTGGAGCGACGACTCGGCATCACGCTACTTCTACTACAGCACTACAAGCGCATCTTTCAGCAACTCTTTGTGCTGCCCGCGACAACAGACAGTCGTGCTTATTACCAAATGATCTATGAATTTGGCTGGCTGCTGTTTCTGGTGGTGCGCAACGAGCTGCCCCCGTTTGCAACAACCAATATAATCAATGGCTGCCAGGTGCTGGTCTGCACCCTGGAACTGGTCTATGTAAATGCGCTTGAGGTGTACAAATCAGATGTTATCAACACAGCGTTTCAGGGCGTGCCCCCCAGCTGGTGCAACAAGGATTTCGACATTGATCTGCTGCACAAGTACAGTGCCATGGATGCCATATGCGGTCTCATACCGGAGTTGCCAGCAAAGGGTGCTCGGATCATGAAGAACGCCTTCTTTCACAAGGCTGTGATGGGCTTGTTTATGGATCAACGTTTGCTGGGCAACGATCGGGTTATGCGCGAACTGATCAAAGATGGCATCTTAGAGGTAAACTTGGCATCTTTGAATCGCAGCTACGCTGTGCACGTCTCGGATATCAGCGAAATTGACGAGAGGGTACTTTTGAAGCACACACCACCGTCCACAGCAGACAAGGAACCAGCGCTAAGGGAAGAGAAACATCAAAATAACATAAGCGAAGAAAACCGCAAGCTAATCTCTGAGCTTACAAGCGACACACAACGCGATAATCTCACCAAGTTGCTAGCAGACGCACTGCCGCAAACGCTGGCCACTTACATAAGCGGTGCTCTGGGCAAGAGCGATGTCAAGCTCTTGCAGCAATCCTTGCTTGAGATGTGCCACAAGTTTGAGAGTGCAGCGGCTCTAAACACGAACACAGCTGATAGCCGATTTAACCTGGTTAGGGGCTTGTACTATCAGTTGCTGGACAAGATCATTGGTGCCGAGCTGCGTCGCAGGCCAACGATCAAACTTGCGCAGCTACTAATCCAGCTGCAACGCACCTTTAATGTCGCACTCATTGCCTGCTGCCTGCAGCTGGTACTGCATATCTTTGAAGCCCAGGATACGCAGCTTAAGTTTCCCTGGTTGCTGAAATGCTTTAACATAGATGCTTATGAGTTTCAAAAGATAATTGAGCTAGTTGTGCGACATGAGAGCGGCTTGCTGACGCGTGATCTCATCAAGCATTTGCATGACATCGAAGCCCAGTGCCTGACCTCGCTTATTTGGCAAAATAACTCGCAGCTGTGGCGTATATATGCCAGCACGGGGCTGCCACGTTGCCAAGACGTGCAATCAAGCTCGGGCCAGGAGAATGTAAGAGCTGCGTCTGGCGCAATCAACATTTGTTTGCGCAAATTTTATCACCTGGCTAACCAAAGGCTGGCTTACCTTTGCAAAAGTCTATCCTTGCTGGCCAGCTACACGAAAATCTGGCACATTTTAGAACACTCCATCATTGTGCACGGCTATGAGCTGCTGCGGGAGCGTCACCTCGACCAGCTGCTCATGTGCGCGATCTACCTCTGCGTGCGCAAGGGACAGCTGCGAATCAGCTTCAGCGATATCATTCAACAGTATCGACGCCAGCCTCACGCCCAAAGTGCCATCTATCGAGCCGTGCATTTGGCCGATGGGCAGCCGAACACGGACATCATCACCTTCTACAATCGAGTTTATGTGCAGCGCATGGCCGAGTACGCGTGTGATTTACACTGTGAGCAATCAGCCGGAAGTGTTTTTGTTCAGCGGCCACTGCAGGAGCTCACAAGCAAAATGCGCTTAAAAAGCAACGGCAACAACACGAATGTCTTCGTCTCACCGGAGGCGATGCCACGCATATGCATGGCCAATGGCTGCAGGGCCAAAATTATAAGCGAGACGGCGACGCCTAAGAATCTCAAGCGTGCACACTCCAACGAAGAGTTGGGCAAGCCCACATCCTCATCCAAGCGACCGAATATACTCAGAAGACGCACCACCTTCCAATGAGCACAGGAGTACGGCCAGAACTGGGTTATTGCATGTTAAGTTCTTTCGAGGCCCATTCGCATGCGTGTGCTACCTTTTTTTTTGTAGTGTATAGACTACGCTACCTAAAGTTAGATTTTTAGGGTATATCATTGTGAATGAATCTGAAAATTGAATTGACTGGAAACTGAATTTATTAATAGCTATATTGAGTAGAACGATTAGATAGGCCAGATGAAAAGACTCGTTTGTTAGTTTTATGCATGTCAATCACCTCAAATTCAATATACATATATTCTTGAATAACTTTTTTTTCACACTTCTACTTTCGCTTCCGCTAATTACTGCAATTTAAGCGGCATATCGCAGTCGGATGCATATAGAAAATTAATTATTTTGATTATCCCGAAAGCAACAGATTTTTTTTGCGTTTCCTATGGAAAATTAAAAAAGTAAATACAGTGAAGTTGTGCAAATGTAACATAAAAATAAATATACAAACGTAAAATATTTTATTGTAAAACCTTTAAATTGATCAGCACCTTCTGTCCGACCGTGTCAAAATAACTGAATATCGATTTTGACTTTTTGAGAAAATCCAGCAGATTATAACATAGTGAATGTATACAAGCACGTTATCATCATCGTGATTTTTATATGTATACACATGCATATATCGTGTTCTACCAGATGCTGTTCAAATACTCGACGTAAGCTGACAAAATCATCGAATTATTGTCGTTAGTGCACACATTTTAAATAAATAATATTGCTCAATTTCATACATATGAGTAGACTTTATTTTAATGCAGTTTTCGGTTTGAAACTTGGTTCAAAATTGTGTAAATAAATGAAAGGGCGCCTAGTCAGAACAAATGAGCAGGCGCCACAAAGGGACTACAACAAAATATATAAGTACACTAATGAAGGGATTTCAAGCGGGAACAGACAATTGGGTTACGGGAGGGAAGAGTATACAATACATACTGAGAGCGTGCAACTTATAACTACAGTTTTTTTTCATGCCTACACACATAGTTTTAAGATGAAGGAGGAGGAGGAGGAGGATTAACAGCCGGAACGCTTGCCGCTGGAATGCTTGGAGCAGGCGCAGTACTGGGCGCAACTGCTGCCACGCTGGCGACCTCGGCAACAGGTGCTGCATTAGCTGGCGGTGTAGTTTCTAAAACACAAACATGTCAATTTGCATTCTAACTTGAATTTTAGCACTCTACTCACCCATTGGCGTAGGCGCTTGAGCTTGCGCAACAGGTGCAGGCAGCTCGCCGGGCGGTGTTGGCGGCGCAGCGGCTGCAGGAGGGACAACTGGCGGCGCTGGAAAAGGTGCACCATTGGCACCTGCAGCTATGTGCGCCGGCAACGGTTGATGCTGTGCTGAAGGCGCTCCCACCGGTTGCGGCTGCTGCGACTGTTGCTGCTGGTGATGATGCGGCGGCGGTAATGTCTGCTGCTGTTGTTGTTGTTGTTGTGGCGGCATGATCATGGCACCCGCAGCAGCGCCAACTTGCTGTCCCTGTTGCTGTAACTCCTGTTGTAGGCGATGATGCGCCTGCTGGCGCGCTCGAAATTCGGCCGCTTTCAGCTGCTCCAGATGGAATTGCTGGCGCTCCGTGATAAGCTGTTGTCTCTGGTATTCAAGACCTTCGCGTTCACGCTCCATGGTTGCCTCCAGCTCCTCAAAATGACGTAGTTTGATTTCCAGCTTCTTCATTTGTGTCTCCACCAGTAATGCTACCAGCGACTTAATCTTGCGCTCCTCCAGCGCTGCCAAATGCTTCGCCTTGACGGCCGCCGAGGCCAATGCTGCGGCTGCTGCTGTTTGCATATTGTTCTCGCTGAAGGCCCCGTCCTTGGCTGTAGCTCCACCGCTGCTGGCATCGTTGCTGCCATCCTTGGTCTCGCCGTCCCCACTGTTGTCTTCCGTTTTGATCTCAACATCGCTGTTGGTGCTAGTTTCTGTGGGTGAGGAGTTGGAAGCCGTTTTGTTTGAGGCGTTGCTCATTTTGTCGATTTTATTGGCTTTGTCGCCGCCGGCCAACGACGACGACGAATCTTTAGATTTTTTATCTGTGTTATTGGTGGTGGGCGTGTTGCTTGTTGCTGTTGTAGTAGTTGTTGTTGTTGATGTGGAACTTGAGTCTGTGTTTGTGTTGAGCTTATCCGATTTCGTTTTGTCTTTGGACTTGGCTTCGTCTGTAGCTTGTGTGTTAACAAAGGCAACACAAAATAGGCCAATTTTTCATCATGTTTGCAAATTTTGTAAATAAAAGAAATGTTAATGAGAACTGAAAAGGTTTTGGCAAGACAAACGAAACTTTTATCGGCAAGCCGACGAAAATCATAGCTTTGCAAAATAATTTGTAAATTTGATTATTTTTGAATATGCAAGACGAAGTTTAAACTTTTTTAGAGATAATGTAGTCAGCTATGAATAAACTTTCGAGGAAACCTCTGTTACCAAATCTTAAATACTAAAGAAGGAGGTCTCTAAAGTTGTTTATTCACCACAAAAAATAAGCTTAAATGCTTTGTTATTATAAGGCGCCTGTTAATGTTATTTATAAATGTAATTTCAATTTCAATAATTTGCATTAAGCTGGTCGTATCGGAGTCATTTGGTACATAAATGGGATAACATATAAGGTATTTCAAGAATCTCCCGGTTCTATTTTCAGCAAACTTTGCACTCGACTCTAAAATTAAAAATGACTTTCACCCATTTTAAAACTTTAACTTTAAAATTGCAGGCGTCAGGTAATGAAATAATTACAGCGCGCACACCAGAGTCACTTTTTTGTTACTTTTGTTTCTTATAACACTAGATATTTAATTTTTGTTTGCCAACAAAAGAGGATGAATGGAAATTTATTGAGCGAAGTAGTTCTAGCTGTTAACTAATTAGATAAAGCAAGTAATATTCGCTAACACAATACATTAAATGGTGATATTTTTCTTCAAACACATTTAACTATTTAGAAATATTGCTACTAAGAGCAGATTACTATACAAAATGAGGAAAATAATTTTTTTTCGATTTAAATTAAAGGTCACAAAGTTTTAAGCACTCACAAATGCATAATAAAATGTTGTTAATATTGTAGATCGGCTTACCGTCTTTTTTGTTAATATCCTTCATTTCCTCATCGTTACCGCCTGCCGTGGAGCTACTATTGTTTCCCTCCTTTGATTCGTCATCGTCTTTGTCATTACCAGTGCCGGCAATGCCGCTGTTTGCCAGACCAAAGTTGGGATTGAATTTGCCACCAGCTGAGGCCTTCTCCACGTTCTTCATATGGTTGTCCATAATAGTAGCTGGCACCTCGTCCTGCGGGTTTGAATATTCATTAATTAGTTTAATGCTTGTTTTTTTTTTTTTTTTTGGGAAACTTACCTTGATGGCGGCGAATTCCTCCATGGCAGCTTTTGCAGCGGCAGCAGCAACACGCGGATCCACCACGGATGCAAGAAATGCAACTGTCGACATAATAGGATTGCCAGACTTGCTGAATGGAATTGGCTGACAGCCAAGAGGGCCCAAGAAGCCGCCATCATCTTCAAGGTACGGATCCTCGATGGGCAGGCGCAAAAAGTGCAAAATGCATTCGTCTTGGGTGCGGGTACCCACATGTTCGCACACTTTATTCCAGTCGTCTTTATGCATCTCAAGGCCCTCAAGCAGCAGCAACGTCTCCTGGTCAGTCCACTCGCGCGACATGCTCGCCGCAGTGCGATTTTTCATGGCCGCCGGTTTCTTGGCATATTGATCCAATTTCAGGCCAAACTGGCTAACCCCAGAGGCTAAACCACTAGTGGCGCCATTCTCCAGTGTCTCTGTTTTGATGCCTAAGCCGCCGCCGCTGGTCTTATCGCAATCGACGCCAGTTTCCTTACCCAGCGGTTTCTTATCAAGATCGAGCAGTGTCTTGGCCGCCGACGGTTGTTGCGTCTTTTGTGGATTGATTGCCTGCAAACCAGACGGCGTATCCGAGAGTATGTGAAAGTGTGAGGTGGGCGGCGGCCCCATAGGAGTGGGACGCAAGTCGGCATCAATCTGATAGTTGATGAGACCCCATTGTTCCAGGAACGCGTGTACGCGCATTATGGCGCACACATCCCCAGCCAAATTGCGCCGACACGCTGTGCTGGTCAAGTATTCTGTGGGATTAAGCCTGCAAGCAAAAATCAATGGACAGGTTAGAATTTGAGTTTGAAATGACTCAACGCCGCACAGATTAGAAAAGGTGAAAAACTAATGTTTAACAAAAACCAGGTTAAAACCGGGCTAAACCAAGGCTATATCTGTTAAACGCACCTGTAGGTGTCTATCATAAAGTTGCGATAGGCCATATAAATTTCTGGTGTCTTGGATTTGTTCTTGCTGTTGAAGAACTCGGGCATGGCGCGCTTTTCGATGACATGAATTGAGTTGTAGTCGAACCAGGCCGAATATGAGGGCACAATGATGTGATGCGTCTGTTCGGTCACATTGTCCTCCATATCCTCCTTGGCCGAGGATGAAAATTCCTGGGTATTACTGTTGTCGCTGGTCTTGCCCGTTTGAGAATTGTCGCCGTCGCCGGTGGACAGCGCCTGGGCAGCACTGCCGCCAGTCATTTCATCGTCCAGATCAGTCATGGTGCCACCTGTTTAACAGCGATTAAGATAAATATAAAACGCCAATTGGGTAACATGATAACTTACCTTTAATAGGCATCATATCGTTGTCACCTCGTGATTTGCCACCGGGTGCTGGGCTGGCTGTCGATTGCAGCGCCGAATGCGTTGCCTTATGCACTTCCTGGATGTTAGGTTCAGCCGGCGGATCGTCGAGATCCCGTGTAAGATCCTCATCGTCGTCATCGTTGCGCGATTTCTTGTGAATGACCGCAGGAGACCGCTTTCGCTTTCCCGGCTTCGATGTAGACGTTGAGGTTGTGGGTGACGGCGACCGACGTCGTTTTTGTTTGCCGCTGCCGCTGCTCGTGGTGGGCTTCTTTTTGTCATCACCAAAGGACATAATGTCATCGATGGACATGCGCTGTTTGTGCGTCTTTTTCTTTCCCACCTCATCCACCTCGTAATCTTCCTCGGCCATCCACTCGTTGTACTGCTCCAGGTCTAAAATCCATGATGCAGCCACCCGCCAACGTTCTGCAGGCGATTCTGGGTTCTCGGGTATATTCTCCGGCAAATCGAAGCTATTCAGTGTCCAAGAGTCATATGACTCAGGAAAGTAGTACCAGTGAAGCATGACATGATTGCCACGCTTGAAAATTGGGCGAGCATATTCATCAGGATGTGGATCCACGACAGGATACACAATATGCGTGGCATCCTCCTCATCAGTGACGATCTCAACACGCCGATTGTCAAGAATCTCACGCAGACGTGCTTCAAAGCTCTTCTCAATCTCTGGTCTTATATAGATGTAAGGTATGCGATAGAGATCTGCCTCTACAAGGGCCTGTTCGATCTCGATCAGCAATTGAATGTTGGGATCCTTGCGGGTAGGATTCTTCCCAATTGAAAAGTCAAACTTTTTGCCACGTTGCTCGGCCCGAAAACGAAACATGGTGGAGAAAATTATGCAGAGACCTCCACCGTTTTTGAAATCCAGAAAACAGCGCATCTGCAATAAAGGAATTTATTAGTATTTTTCATTAACTTTTGGGTACTATTTAATAAATTATTACTTTTTTGTACATAAAACAATTTAAAATTTATAAACAGTTTACATATTTAAATACAAAAATAAGTTAGAGGTTTATCACTATTTTTAAGAATCCAAATATTGTTTTTGTACCCTATGATTGCCGCCTTTTATGTTTTATTTTAATATAGGACATCATGAAGCGTGTAATTTTTATTTAAAAAAAAAAATAAATAAACATGTTTCGTGCCTGAATAGGTCAACTCGTGTCCGTCTCGAAATTCTCGCATGTGCGCATCTCTATTGCGCGTGTACATACAAAACATTTTGCACACCCAAAACACCCTGTTCCCCCCCAACACACACTTACCGGGATTCTCGTTGCCGGCGGTTCAGCCGAGTTTTTTCCCAATTTGGCCTCCACATATTGCAGAAATAGTATTAGCAATTGTGCAAGGGATTCCTTTGTTACTGGCTCTGAGCTATGCGCCAAGTACTGCAATACAAATAGACGTAAGTTGTCGTATGTTTTCAATTTGAGCGAAGCGCCATTTTTGTTTTCGCTTACGGTGGCGGCGTTGTACTCACCTTTTTACAATTCTTTTGTAGCCATAGTCGTATAGACTCAAAGCCTTGCAGCGTCTCCGGCGATTGGAAAAATTCAATATTGGGACTTCCGTCCTTTTTAGGACCGAGTGTATTCATTGTGCAACACTTTTTTTATGCTTTTCTTTGATTTGGTGCACAGTTTCACGACGAAAACGAATATTGAAAATGCTGCAGCCGCAATAGACGCACACAATTGGGGTGGCGGAGTATCGATACCATTTAAGTATTGACGTGCATTATTATCGATATAAAATAATTGCTCGAGTCTAACCAGTAATGGATCTAGTTCCCAAGTTATTGAAGTTACATTATTTTGTATATTCTCTTATATATATACAAATTTTATTTACAATAAATATAGCGAATTATATTATTTCATTCTCTTTGGTTTTAGATAGTAATTCAAGTAATTGTTTTTCTAAAATTCGGTTCATTTTACTAGTTTATATTTACTAGTTCAAAACAAAAACTTCCATCTCTAAATATAAATAGTGTTGTCTATTAACATAAATAAATACGTCGACCAATTCTGTTGTAAAAAATGTTATTATTATAATTTGTCCAACTTTTAAATATATACGATAATCTTGCAATAATTATGACATTTGTTTGCTGAAATTGTGATTAGTTTTTTCATTGTATTATATGGTAATAAAAATTATGAACTGGTCAGTGGCAACTCTGTTTGAATTTTATTTCATGCGCCATTCGAGCACCGCACAGTATAAATGTGACTTGAACACCGCGAACATGGCTTTCCCTGGTAATATTTATATCCGAAAATTTGAGAACATTCAGCGGACTGAGTGCATTTGTGTCTGTGTCAAACCAAATGTTAAATTAAAACATTGACTGTTTCGGCCAAACGACGTTTGCGACACAATCGAATTCGCTGCGCTCTTCACGCCTACGCCGGCGTGTATGTGTGCGTGTTAAATCGATGGGTTAAATTGGCTACTCGTGCGAGTGAATAAGAACAGTTTTGTGACGCTTGCAAAAAAAAAGTGAACGCGTAGCAGAGCAGCGCTGCAGCAGAGCTTAACACACACATATGCGCAAGCAAAAGTGAACTGTACAATCTAAAGCTATAAACAAAACATTAAATAGGAAATTTTTTTCTACAAAAATTATTAGCTATCGGTGAAAAGTGGACAAAAATGCATCAACTAAACACAGCGCGCATGAGTTGAAGTGACAGCAAGCAGTCGCAGTGCTGCCGCAGCAGACGTCGACGTCGACGCCGCCATAGGTATGCTGCAGTAAGCAGAGTTGCTAGCTCAGCACGCCGCGACAGCACCAGCCGAATCGTAACATTTGCCAAAGGTAAGTGCCGCGTAATGTGTTTAATAAATATGGAAGGCTATTAAACATCAGTGTGTTTGTGTGTATATATTTGTGTATATAAGCATATAAACTAATTACATTAGTACAGACTATTCCGTGGAGACGCGTCCCTCGTCTACTTATCGTTGTGGCGACTGCGCTGCTTTCCTTGACGCTGCCGACACAGCGCGTCTTTTTTGCTCTGCAATTGTGTATGTATGAGTAGAGTGTGTGTGATTTCGCTGCCTCTGATACTTTTCTTACTGCGTAAGTACGCCAAAGGAGGGGCAACGGGGCATGCTGTGCTGTGATAAGCTAACATTTAAGAAATTTTATTAGTACATATTATGTGTGCACATGTACGTACGTTTGTATATACATACGCATAATTTTATATACTCGTGAATGTGTGTGAGGTTATACAGAAGAATATAGCAAAGTTAAAGGTCCTTTGTTTAATTCATTTCATTATTTCGCTGTGGAGTTTAGTTTATTGGCTTTTTTTTTTTTTATTCTTGGCAGCGTTTGACATGTCATTGTATTTTTAGTCACAACCATTTCCCAATACTTTTGTTTTTAGCATTTTGAATTGTTTTTCGGCTTTTCGCTTTGGTGTCTGGCAATCTCCCGAGTGCTGCCTCCCATCGTTCATGTACTTACTTTTTGGGCGCTCAATGCGCACCAATTGACGAAATAACGGCGCAAAGCGTAAATGTTGAATGTTGACTACGAGCTTTTGGTTTTGCCTAATATTCAAGTGCCTTCGCTTGACACTACCACTACCGCAGTCGAAAACTCAGTCAATATGCGTTGTCCACGTTGACGGCGACCCAGCAGCAGCAAGCGGCATTTATATTTATTTATGGTCTGCTACCGTAATCGACATTGCCGACTGAAGCATGGGGAGCGCCCCAGCTTTTTCTCTTTCTTTTATATGTATATGTGTACTTACATACACATGCACATGTATGTATGTGTGTATATATGACTCTTTAGTGGGGTAGGGCACTTGGACTAGCTATGTATATACATGCATGTGTGCATGTATTTTGTTTCAACTATGTTTTGCCATTTTATTTATTTTTGCCGTTTGGCATAAAAATGTAAAGTGCGTGCAAACCTTTTCATTCCATCTGACCGATATTTCTATTTATTGATTTTTCTATAGACAGGTTAGTTCGAAGAACGTAAGATACGTTCCTAAAAATACGCTGTTGATTTTCGTCAAAATATGTATATATAACATACATCAAATTGACTCTCAATTTGTATATAACCATTTTCATAAAATGTCATATTCCTACAAAAGCGTAGAAAAAAGGTAAAATAAAAAGTTCTCAAGCTATTTTAAGTTGATTTTTTTGTATATTGTTTATTTTACCTGTTCCCATAAAATAGTTCATTTCGTGCATACTTTTATCAGCATTGGATGCATTCGAGATGGATCTGTGTATACAGACCCCCTCAATAATAGCCCGTACAATAATTTTGAATGTATGCAGCAGCAGCTGTTATAATATTTGTTAAATGTTTCTGCCATTGTATGAATGCAAATTTGAACTGTTTAATATTTAAAGACATTTAGTGTTTCCATATGTGCAAAATTTCTTAAAAATGAATTCGAGCACACGACTTTCGGTAACTTGTTTTAGTCTATGAATGCGTTTGCCTAGATATATTTAATGACAGTTAACGAGATTTGCATATTTTCAATATTTGTCAAGTTAAACTTCCATTTGTGAACTCAAGTGTACTTGCCTACATATATTTTGATCCATATTATCTGTCTTCTACTTAAGCGATGTCTGACCTGTTTTTTGCAGGGAACCATATCTGGGAAATCTGTAGGGCCTGGCTAGCTTGGAACTTGTACCACTTACCATACAATTTTCTAAAAAAAATTACAATTAATCCACTTGTCGTGGTGATATATACGTTTATATATTTTTATTCTTATTTTTACATTAAGTCTTTTCAATAGTGTTATACATTTCGCAAAAAATCTGTAGCACGCTCACAAAGAGCATAGAAGGTCGTGCTTTAAATATTCAAAATTAATTAAATAAACTGTACAAAGAATACGCTCGAATCTTTTGAAGAAAAGGGCAGCGTTTCGTTTGTTATAACAAAACTCACATAAATATGGGAATGATGACTCAGAGAAGTAACGAGGGATATGGGGGCTTATTAAAAGACGCTTATTCGAACCAACGTGGACTTAAATGATTGGTCACAATTTGAAACTGTTTCGGACAATTCTTGAAAGTTAAAGTTCAACACTGTACAACAAATGAGCTCAAGTAGGGAGTGTAGTCTGTACATATGTATGCAAGTATTTATGAATGAATGTTTGTACATTTATACATTTTAGCTGGCTTTTCTGATTGTGTGTGTCCCTCTCTTGCTAATCATTATATGCCCATTATTGATAATACAAATTTTTGCTTTGCTTATCTGCAGCTACAAAATGTCTGTTAATAAATTTATGAATACGTGAACCGTAGGCGACAATAAAAATAAGTAAGAACGGGTATTACCGACCCTGGCTCACATGTTGAACAGCGCCTTTTACGTCGTTATGGACGCACATTGCACAAAGCCAATATGCTCTATTTCATTTTGTGAACAGGGTATGCCAACCACAAAAACAATTATTAGTGGAAGATGTTGACATTCAGAAATCTATTCGAATATGATATGATGTTTCTACATATATCAAAATCGATCTATTTCTTATATAGCCCTAGCTCATGTCAATCGTAATACAAATAGAATTACCATGCAAGGTTGTTGTTGTTGCTTTATTGACAAACACAATAACTTATTTATTGCTGTCAATTCGTGATCAAACCATGTCATACAAATGTTTTCATTATAACTTTAACGATGTGCACTATCTATGTATGTAATCGGAGGCTCGATAAAGCCAAATCAATTTTACATTAAATTGTCATTTGTATTGCATTTCGTTTTATTTATTCCATAGTACGCTCCTAATAAAATTATCATTAATTTATTGGGGATAGTGAACCCCACAACTATAGTGCTTATATTTTTGTTTATGCATGTATATTATTTAATTGTTTTTATCAACATAAGAACTCCTTACCAACAACTATTTGTTGCTTATCTCTATACTTCCTTGCATGTGTGGGTATATAACATTCCATAGATAAGTTCAGAGAAATAATATTACTATGCGCGCACGAATGAGTGATATGTGCTCAAATCTTTCCAAAGTACAATTATATCTGTAATTAATATGAATATGCAAACGTTTATAGTTTGCAATTTCTTGGTTTACTCGATCGACTTTTGTACATATTCACGTATTTTCAATAGTTTAAAGTATATTGCTTACGAACAAATAAATCACGTCCCATTTACCACGTGCAGTAACTGTTGCTCGTCCTTGTCAATATAAATAATAAACTCAACTCGATTTTACTGTGAAATTGGGTAGTACAATTAGAAAGTATTTCTATAGCTTTAACCAATTATAATGTTTGCATATAAACTATTTAGCTGCCTGTGTGCTCTAATCTTATATATTTTTCCGATACATTTCGGACGCTGACACCAAGAGACAAAAACAATTAACATTAAAATCAATGTAATTAAATAATTAATTTAACATTCGACACACAATATTTTACACGTACGCAGTTTTTGAGATTGAAAATAAAAGCAGCAATAGATCTTGAGAATATTTCTTTAAAATGCAACTAAATCGTTTAATTAACTCTTCTGCAAATTAAAAGTAATTCCATAAGTGAAATAATAATAAATCGGAGGGGCCAGAGAATATTCCAATTTCACAAATTGTATATATATATTCAAACCTCATTATTTCCATAAATGAGGTTTTCTACTTGTGCTTCCAATAATTATCAACCGAAATACTATATATACATATATATATATATATATACAATATATACAGAGTACATACAAAATTGTGATTTATGCTGAAAATTAAATAAAATGAATTCTTACATAAACGATTTGAGCGTAAGCACCTGAAATACGTGGGACTGCATTACGTAACGCCGTCTGAGTCCTGGTTATGACAGATTGTCCCATTTTAATAGAAATAGCCGACTTATATCGTTGCAGATTAGCAAACGCTTCCCTGAAACCACCCCTAAACTATTATTTGTACATGTATAAATACATATTTCAAAAGAGTTTTGTGTGCAGCATGTAATCAGTCTTGTATGTTTATTCCTCTGATCGACTTCTAGCTGTCGCTTCTTTGGTTACTCGTTGCGTTTTTTATGAGCTCGACCCAAAAACCGAAAGAAATAAATAAATACTCTGTTTGCGGCCGAAAATTCGTAATAATGTGTTTCGGTTTCGACGCGCTTGCTATAAAAAATAAGAAACACACTCCGATACGTACATACGTATAGTTATATAAATACTTGATTAATATTCAAGGTCGCAGTAGCTTTGTTTTAGCTTCCTTATACAACTCACACCACGCGAGTTTCTCGATTTCTGTTTGTTGTTTTTTTTTGTTCCTTCTTTGTAGCCGGGTCGGACATTGATGTCAAAAGGTTCATAACCGGTCCACTTTTTTATTGTTAGGTTGTTATATGCTATTTATTGTCTACCTTCAATTCGCAGAAATTTAAAAAATTCAAATTATCCAGGCCAATTTTGGATTAGGCAGGGTCTCTTCGTACTTATAGCTGATTGGTATTTTGTGTGGATCCCATCACAATGCATCACATTAGGGATTATGCATGCTATCGTTCTATATTTGACGAATTTATTACGACGATAGCAAATATGTACACAAATATAATTTATATATATCTATATGCTGACATGCAAAAATATTTGCAGTGCCCTTATAGATATGTTTGTACCTTGTCAAGAAGGATCAAGTAATCCAGTCGCGTAAATTTCTTTTCACTTAAAGGGCCTCTTTTTTATCATACTCAACTAACCGATAAACCCAGCCCAACTGTCTTTTGTTTGTCAAAAGATTTACATCCTTCTCAACATATAAATCAATTTCTATGTATGAATACATAAAACAACTCTTTTATTATCCTCTTCATGACACTAGTATACAGTAGTAAGGTATATATATATATATTGGTTCAGCTGGTGGGTAAACGCCGCCTGGCTTTACATTAACTTAATCAAATATGAATTAATGTATAATGTAGCTTTTCAATGCTAAGAATCGAACTCGAACTAATTTTTATTAGATTCGAATACGTGCTTCGTTTATGTTTGCAGTATTGTCTTTACGGAAGGTCATATTAACAATTGCTAATTAGTTTATAACAATTTTATAACAATAGTAATACTTTGTTTTTATTTGCAGATTAGTTACATATAGTAATTATAGACGAGTTTAATCGCACAATCAACCGAAAGGTATCACAAATCTCAACTGAAGAATGACATCTCGGTAAGTGTTCAAAACTGGTTTTAATAAACTCCATTAACAACTTTTTCTGATTGCAGACTCGATCGTCTTTTTATACTACTCGAATCGGGATCCACCGCAGCCACGCGCCATGCGGCGGCCAAGCAAATTGGTGAGGTGCAAAAGCTATATCCACACGAATTGCATGCCTTGCTCAATCGGCTCGTGGGATATTTGCACAGTACTTCGTGGGAGACGCGCATTGCCGCCGCGCAGTCGGTGGAAGCAATACTGAAGCAGGTGCCGCCATGGCAGCCCGAACTGCATTTGGGTTCCATACATTTTAAGAAAGAGCGCACGGCCAGTGATGCCACTGAGGAGGACAGCTGCCAATCGAATGCATCTTCATCTACCACCACAACGCCGTGCAGCGAGCGATTGCTTAGCTTTGATGAGTTCGATCTACAGCAGATTTTGCAGAAAGGCGCCCGTCTGATCGGCTCCGAGGGCAATGAATTCGATGTGCAGGAGGAGCAGCCGGCTAGTGGCGGCGCTGCCGAGGATCACAGTGTGGCTGCTCGACTGACTCGCCAGCGTGCGCTGCTCAATGACAAGCTGGGACTTACCACAGCCGCCAAGCTGGGCGTCAATCTGACTGACATGATAACCGACGAGGATGTGGCCCTGCAGCGCACTGGCAACAGCTACAATGTGAATGCCGAGAAACTGCCTGTGGAGCAAATACTACACATCAATCAGGCCAATGGAGGAGGAGCAGCTGGTATCAGTGCTGCAGGCCAGCGGCTCAGCTGCCGCGAAATGAATCGCGCTAAGCGCAAAGCACGTCAAGGCAGCGCCACTGCTGTCTCCACAGTTACGCCCACTTGCAGTCGCCGAAACTCAACAGCTGGCATCGGTGCCGGCAGCAACAGCAGCAGCGGCGGCAGCAGCTGCAGCAACAACAACAGCAGCAACAACAACAACGGCAACAGCACAACTGATGAGCCAGAGAAGAAGAAATTGAAGGCAAACGACAGACACGAGATTTTCTACAACTTGAGCGGTGCGTGGGCGGGTTAACCAAAGTCTCAATTTTATGGTAGTTATTTTGAAAGATGGTTTATGTGATTATTTCAATGGTGCAAAGGTTTTAATATCTAGGTTTTAATATTTATTTTGATATTGTACAATATCAAACCTGGCCGGTGAGCCAGTTTTAGTGCCGTTATTTGAGTGTTCAGCCTTATATGATTATCACAAAACAATTTGAAACGATATTCTAATATTTTCGTGCATTTTTATAGATTGTTTTGCATTCAAACTGTAGCGCAATGGCATTGATTTCTCTTTTCAGACAAATTCTGTTAAGAATACTTGTATCCAATTGCTTGCAGATGCCACTAAAAAGTTTGCAATGTGTTGCGTATTGCCTGTTCTCAATTTAAACGAATATCTATGCATACGTACGTAAACTCAGTGTGCATGATGTCATATTACCCCGTAAAGCACTTAATGTTCCGTTCATCAGAATACTACTATTAATACCGCTAAACCGGAATAGGCTTATTATATATAAACGTGCACACATATTAATTTAAAAGAAGGTTTCTGGGTGTTTCACAAAGAGCAACTTTTGTCTAGTTACCTGCAACAACCTTTAAAGAATTATGTACGTTATGAGAAATTGTATGGCTTACAAAATTTTTGATAACACTCCAAATAGCTCGTTCGAAAATTGAGTTTTATGTTTTATCAGTTTTATCATTTCGGCTTATAGATCAGATAAGGGTATTTATTACTGATACTCTTCCGGAAATGGAGATTTGTTATTATAAAAGTAGATTACTTCACACATTGTGAAAACTTCGCTAATACTTCGTTTAATCACGGTTTTAATTAATATTATTTCACTGCTTGCAGCCGCTGTGCCAGATGCAACAGGCACATGGGTCGATGCTGTCTCCTGGCCACTGGAGAATTTTTGTGCGCGCCTCTTTATTGATCTCTTTCACGCCAAATGGGAGGTGCGTCACGGGGCGGCCACTGCGTTGCGTCAGCTCATCAATCTGCATGGCAATGGAGCGGGCAAGTGTGTGCAGCAGAGTCCCGAGCAAATGCACGAGGCGCACGGCCGATGGCTGGAGGATGCGGCAATACGATTGCTTTGTGTGCTATGCCTCGATAGATTCGGAGACTTTGTCTCCGATCAGGTAGTGGCGCCGGTGCGCGAGACCTGTGCCCAAGTGCTGGGCACCCTGGTCAAAGCCATCGATGAGCCCAAGGTTCATCGCATAGTGGACATTTTGCTGCAGCTGATACGACACAAAAACGAGTGGGAAGTGCGCCATGGCGGTCTTCTAGGCCTGAAGTATGTGTTTGTGGTGCGCGAGGAGCTCTTGCCCATTTACCTGCCCAAATCGATATCGGACATACTGCCAGGCCTGCTGGATGCTGTCGATGACGTCGGCGCGGTGGCGGCAGCGACACTAATCCCAGTGGCAATGTGGCTACCCAAGCTGCTCAATGCCACGCAGGTGTCATCAATTGTCAAAATGCTGTGGGATTTGCTGCTCGATCAAGATGAGCTAACTTCGGCCTGCAACAGCTTCATGGGCCTACTGGCGGCCATATTGTGCCTGCCACAGGCAGCCAGCTGGATTCAAATGGAGCCAATAGGCACGCTGGTGCCACGCCTGTTTCCGTTCCTCTCGCACAGCACCAGCTCAGTACGTCGCTCGACACTGAAGACGCTGTTGACATTAACAAGCGGAGGCGAAGCTGAGCCCAAACAGGAGCCAGTCGGTGCCAAATTGGAGTTGGAGCAGGCAACTGACAGTGCCAATGGCGTGCAGAAATCTTTGAAGCTGAACTTTGGCGTTGTAGATTGGAACTGGCAGCTGCTGCAGCAGGGGCTGCGGCATATCTATCAACGTATTCTGGTGGAGCCGCAGGCGGATATTCAGACCTTGGCGCGTCAGGTCTGGTCCAATCTCATTGAGCACGCAGGGTTGGGAGCGCTACTGCATGCTGCCTGCCCGTATGTATCATCCTGGATATGCCTGGCCATGCAGCCGCCACGTCTGGCCTTTGATCCGGCCGTGCTCATCAGAGGTAGTGGTGGCGCCAGCGATGTAGCCGCCGTATCAGCGGCGAGTACCCGCCGCCGTAACCTGCGCATGGGCGATGATCTGGGTGGCGTTGCATTGGCTCACTCGAATGTCATGCAGAAGTTGTATTTGGGCGGCAGTGAGGCTACACCACTGGAGCTGCGTGAGGCGAACTTTATGCGCGCCCGCATCACGGCATCGCGAGCGTTGGGTGCTCTCTCGCACTATCTGGTGCAGCCGGCACCGGGCGTCCTCTATACGCCGCAGATGGAGAGTCCCACAGATTGCTACACCAAGGTGCTGCTGGGCCACTTGAATGCCCATTCGGCGGTTCAGCGGATTGTGTGTGGCCTTATAATTGCATTCTGGGCACTCGAGGATGAGCCCGTGCGACCAGGACCTCCAAATCTGCAGGAGAAGCTGCATCAGTGTGTGTCAGAGTATTTTTATTATGACGAGGTGGCCACGTCGCTAACACGACTGCTGCAGGAGGCGCAGGACTTTATAGCAACGCTGAAGCAAAACAAGATACCCATTAACGACTTCAACAATGCGAAGATTCTTACGCTTGACCAGATAGAGGCGGTGGCCACCACACTCAGTGACAATCTGCGTAGCTATGCGCTCAAGCCAAAGGTGCTGGAAACGCTCCTGGAGCGTAGACGCAGCTTACAGGCCTCGTATCAACAGACGACCAGTGAACAAGGCGCCTACCATGTCAGCGCCCAGGCAGCATTGGCCGGTGCTATTTGTGCGCTGCACTGTCTGCCAGACAAATTGAATCCCGTTGTCAAGCCGCTCATGGAGTCGATTAAGCGGGAACAGTGCGTGCCACTGCAACAATTGTCTGCTGACTTTTTGGTGCATCTTATGGAACAAGTTTGTGATAGAAATCCTAGTCCCAATAGTAAAATATTAAATAATCTGTGCACCCTGCTGCGTAGCGATACAGAGCACACGCCGAAGCTGGTAAGTGAAAGTAGCTTGACATAACCAGAAATACCATACCTAATACAAATACCCATTTTTGTAGATGATGCCGTCGCGCACGTTCCTAGCGACACGTTCCAGTGCCTCTGTCAGTGTCCATGACACCTGCGACTATTATGGCATCCTAACGCTCAAGCAGCAACAGGCGACGGGTGGCAGCAGCGGCGGAGGCGGTGCAGGCACAAGAGCTGGCGGCACGGCTTTAATGCCAACGCCTAGAGGGCCCGGCAGACCGCCAGCCAGTGAAGCCTTGGCTGCTGCAGTAGCGGCTGCGGCTAGCAAAGAGATCAGCACTCAACAGGTCAAAGAGGCTGAGGGGCGACAGTGTCGCATACAGAGATTGGGCGCAGCTTGCGCCATTGCCAAGCTCTGCAGCTCATTCGGGGATCGCATTGTAGAGAAGGTGCCCATCTTTCAGCAGCTGATGTTTGGCAAACTGGAGCAGTTTGTCACCAGCATGGATATAGAGAAGCTATCCAGCACTCTGCCTGAGCTGACGCCATGCAATGATCTGATTAGCTCGTTGCAACTAATCGAAACGGCGGCACCGCATTTGCACGTCGCGCTACATGAGCAGCTTTTTGCACTGCTGCCACACCTCGGCTTCATATTGCGGCATCCGTTGAAGGTATTGCGCCACATGGCAGCTCGTTGCTTTGCTGCCCTGGCTGAGATTGATGCCTGCCGTACCATGCAGTTTGTGGTAGCAGAGCTGCTTGGATTGCTGCTCAAGATTGAGAGACCCATTGAACGGCAGGGCGCAGTGGAGGCCATTGAGCGAGTGGTTAATCGACTGCAAATCCGTGTTGTGCCATTTATTGTGCTACTCGTGGTGCCGCTGCTGGGCGCCATGAGCGATCCAGATGAATCAGTACGCCTGCTGGCCACGCACTCGTTTGCCACACTCATTCAACTAATGCCACTGGACGGTGCCGTCAATGCAAAGACAGCACCACAGCTCAAGGGCGAGCCATTAGAGGAACGCAAGACACGAGATCGTGAGTTCCTTGATTATCTGTTTGCGCCCAAGACGATACCGGACTATAATGTACCCGTTGCGCTCAGTGTGGAGCTGCGCGGCTATCAGCAGGCGGGCATCAACTGGCTGTGGTTCCTTAACAAGTATAATCTGCATGGCATTCTCTGCGACGACATGGGCCTGGGAAAGACGCTCCAAACGATTTGCATATTGGCCGGCGATCATGTGCAGCGCCAAAAGGCCAAGCTGGCCCCATTGCCCAGCCTAGTCATCTGTCCGCCAACACTCACTGGCCACTGGGTGTATGAGGTGGAAAAGTTTCTGGCACAGTCACCAGTGTTAAAGCCTTTGCACTATTTCGGTTTTCCCATTGGACGCGAGAAGCTTCGCAGTCAAATTGGCACCAGTTGCAACCTGGTAGTCGCTTCCTACGATACTATACGCAAGGACATTGACTTTTTCAGTGGCATTCACTTCAACTACTGTGTGCTGGACGAGGGGCATATCATAAAAAATGGAAAGACAAAAAGTTCCAAGGCCATAAAGCAGCTAAAGGCCAACCATAGACTAATCCTATCAGGCACGCCCATACAGAACAATGTGCTGGAGCTGTGGTCGCTGTTTGATTTCCTAATGCCTGGCTTTCTGGGCACCGAGAAACAGTTCATTCAACGCTATTCGCGACCCATTTTGGCCTCACGGGATGGCAAGAGCTCGCCCAAGGAACAGGAGGCCGGTGTGCTGGCCATGGAAGCCTTGCATCGCCAAGTGCTGCCATTCCTATTGCGTCGCGTCAAAGAGGATGTGCTCACGGATCTCCCACCCAAAATCACGCAGGATCTGCTATGCGAACTGAGTCCCCTGCAGTTGCGCCTCTACGAAGACTTTAGCAATAAACACTTGAAAGACTGTTTGGATAAGTTGGACGATACGGAGAATCTCGGTACCAAAACGCACATCTTCCAGGCACTTCGTTATCTGCAAAACGTTTGCAATCATCCCAAGCTGGTACTGCGTCAATCCGGCGATGAGCTGACCAATGTTGCTGCGCAGCTGGCACTCAGTAATAGCACCCTTGACGACATTGAGCACTCGGCCAAATTGCCAGCTCTTAAGTAAGTGTCTATCTTTAAGAATCATTTCCGGAAGCTGCTAATCCTCCACTCTCTATCCTTATAGGCAACTGCTTTTAGATTGCGGCATTGGTGTCCAAACGGAGTCAGTCAGTCAGCATCGGGCGCTTATATTTTGCCAGCTGAAGGCCATGCTGGACATTGTGGAGCACGATCTGTTGCGCAAACATTTGCCCAGCGTTACGTATCTGCGCCTGGACGGCAGCGTGCCAGCCTCATTGCGTCAGGACATTGTGAACAACTTCAACAGTGATCCCAGCATTGATGTGCTGCTACTAACCACTCTGGTATGTTCATGTTTATTGGTAACCATACGCATTGTAACCTAAATATTTTGCAGGTGGGCGGCTTGGGTCTAAATCTTACCGGTGCCGATACCGTCATCTTTGTGGAGCACGACTGGAATCCCATGAAGGATCTGCAGGCCATGGATCGTGCCCATCGTATCGGACAAAAGAAGGTGGTCAATGTGTATCGCCTGATTACGCGCAACTCGCTCGAGGAGAAGATTATGAGCCTGCAAAAATTTAAGATACTCACCGCCAATACGGTGGTGAGTGCCGACAATGCTTCGCTTCAGACCATGGGCACCTCACAAATCTTCGATCTGTTTAATGTCGGCAATAAGGCCAGTAACAGCGGAGCAGCAGCAACAGCCGCTGGTGGCAGCGGTGGCATGACCATGAATACAATCATTGAGAATTTGCCGGAGCTTTGGTCCGAGCATCAGTATGAGGAGGAATACGATCTGGGCAACTTTGTGCAAGCCCTAAAGAAGTAAAGTCACCACTTCATCCCTAATAAGACTTGGAACGTACAGTCTCACAAACTATACTTAAACACACAGACACACAAACCGCATTCGCGCATCGCTAAAGATGAGTCAAGTACTCATTTTAATTTTGCAGGCACATGCTTCATTCTTTTTCCGTCAAAAGTAAACTTCTTTGCAATTTATAATAAAAACATTAAAAGTCAAAATTTTGTGCAAAAAAGTTTTAGTATGGGAGTCAGTAGGTGAAAATACAGTGGTCCCTCAAAGGAAGGGACCAAGCCTTCAAGCTGCGTTCAGGAAAAACCAGAACTATTTAAGACAACACACATTAATCCATTAAATTTAAAATCTTTAGCAGAATTAATAATTCAGAATAAATCATTTAATTTTGCTCATACTATCTTGAACTCCACCTTTATCATATGAAAACATGTTTAAGGACCATCGAATAAAGAATCATATGTTGAAAGCAACAGTTTCCGCCCAATTTAGTCTTGTGAGGAGAAACACACTTAACACACTTGCGACTTGAATCGATGAAACACGTATTCATTTAGTTTTTATAGAGTAATTTGGGGCAGGTCGGACGCAACTACCCCTTCTAATCTTTCACCCGCAAGGGTGGGGATTTTAGGAATTCTGAAACAAGTCTGAAATTAACTTTCGCAAATGTCATTCTAAATGTAAACTAATAAGTTCCGTTTATTTCCCCACAAAAAAATTGTTTGAAAAAAGTGTAAGACACGTCTCAAATGAATTTTTAAAAAAATTCTTAGAAATGAATTTGAGCCCGGAACATCACTTACCTAATATTGGACCCAAGGACGGATGGAATTTCCAAAAAGTGTGAGATACCTCTCTAATGAATTTAAACAACGATCTGTAAAAATGAGTTTTACCATCCAAGAAATTGCATGAAAACGTTTTTCGCTACCGGACTTTCCCGATTTTGCTTACGCCTTCATCACATAAGGTAACTAGAATGAAACTTTCGGCCTCGTAGCTTTTACGGTTTGGGCTGTGCGTTGATCCCCAATAAGTCAGCCAGTCATTCAGACAATTAGTCAGGACAAACAGTTTTAAATATAAAGATAAATATATGATTCTAATTTAAATTTGATTTTATTCACTATAGTTATAAAGCCCTTCCTGGTCTGTTTATCACATTTTATGGGAAAACCGAATGGATTAGACATGTAGAGTAAAGATGTAATTACTTAGTCAATTAATGGAAACCATGTATGCGGCGTTGGTCAGATATGTTACTTCGCCAATCCTACTTTACTCTTCTAGCGAGGATAAATGATTACCCTGCCGGCGGCAGACATACACACGCGAAATACGCTGCCATCCACTTGTCGTCTAAAACGTCTGCGTTGAATTCCGCACATTTCGATATGGTTGAGAACAAATTCGATTAGCATCGATGGGAGGCGTCGGTCCGGTGTGGTTACCCACCAATCTGTGGGCGCTACCATCCAATCCTCCTCTGGCTTTAACTGAACATATGCGCTAGGAGATCCGTCTGCAGGTGTTTCGCAGGTGGAACTGCTGTACCTTGTCGCGACTGATGCCTTTCTCTGCACCATGCGGTCGTAGCCATTGTCCTTGGGAATCGTCCCTCCCAATGCCACCCAGTTGGCGGCTCTTTTTTTTGCCAGATCTATTGCATTTGGGCGCGTCTCGATTCTCCCGCCTGCCTCCCAAGACCTACGTTCTAATGGCAACGGAAACAAACGCAGATGGTTTGGGCCGACTTGGAGCACCGCTCTGGTCTGACGCAAGAAATCCAAGCCTAAAAGAACGTCGTCCGTCACGTTGGGCATCACCAGTGTGACAATATACGTGCGTGTTTGTCCCAGCAGAATCTCCACTGCCATGGCCTGCGATACGTTTGTATTCGAACCGTCAGCTAGGAGGATTTTCACTCCAACCTTTAGATGATTCGAATCTGTTTTGATCTTGTTGGCGATGTCCGCGCTGATAATGCTTCGTGTCGATCCCGTGTCTATGGTGGCAACACGACGGCGTCCATTTATGACAATCAGCGCTGCGATTCTATCTCTATGCATTAGCAGGGTGTCCATAGCTCCTAGATCTTTTGCCACAACGCACTTGGCTGCCGCTTGTGGTTTTTCCATAAGGACGTTTTTCAGAGGCTTCAGTTGGGGCCAATGGTTTGAGCTAGAGAAAAGTAATCAATTATTACTGAATTATACATATATTGCTATGAAATGAGATAAATACAAGTTGGTTGTTATACTTAAGCCCCGCTGCTTATAAAAATAACCGATTGTAATCATATTAGTTGCTTTTCGAACACAATTAAACAAATAATAATACCAAATGTAAGGTTTCAAAAGTAAAATATCCCTATATATAACAAATATTTACTGCATTTAATTGTTTTTATAGACAAATTAAATTTTTGGTTGTTTTTGTTTTTAATTGTTTTTATAGGACCTCAAACAAACAAAGAATGTTAAGTTAAGATTAGGAGAACTAAGAAAATATTTATGTTTTTTACCAACCGTATTCAGTAGATAGCAAATCTATTTTATTCAGATTCTTATCCCTGTTCTCTACGGAACTGCTCTGCGCATTTTGGAAGCTACAAAATCTTACGTTTGTTTGACGTTTGTTTTACCGCAGAGGACACACCTGAGTAAAAAAAATAATTAATTTTCTGGGCCTTAATTTTCATATCGGTACTCACCTCGTTGTGCATTAAATTATGTTGTCTTAGTTTGTCACAAATTATGTTTTTGTTGTAAAATTGCAAGCGCAAGCTTATAAAGGCCCCTGACAACTATTTCACCATTGCAAGTCGGTATGACCCACTCCCCACTAGCCGTAGCTAACCTATTGCACATATAATCACATCATACATACTCCACACATACATACATAAGTACACTAATAAATAAAGTAACTTACAACATATCCGCGCAGTAAATCCTTCTGAAGTGTGCTTTTCCGTACCCGACGGCTTTGTGATTTTATCGGCTTTAAACGGCTGCCTGCATTTTGCTATGGTGAAAATGTATTTTGTCTAATTTCCCCACACTTCTGCTAGCAGCAATGCCGACGTCTCTGGCCGTCGTATTACGCCATTTTTTTTCTTTAATGCTCACCACCCATCGTCACATCTCATTTGTGGTAATGCCAATGTGTTCCTTTTTGCTTTTTTCACTCACTTGTTTATCCAGTTGCACATTTTTGGGTCTTTCCTGCAGGGCTGAGTCGTTTCATTTGATGGCACTTGGCTGCCGAGTTATTGTTGCTTTTGAAAAAGTTAACACGTCAACTTTATACTTATGCTTTTTCGGGATCAGAAGCCCGATTTATTTTCGGTACTAAAATATCAATATGCCATTGATCCGCAAAGCTAGAAATTTAACGTTTTTTTCACCGTTTGAATTTGGTATCGACAGCTGTTTCTCTGCTGTGGTGGTTCGACGATAAGTTGGCAATCGAGAAATCCCGAAAATATAAAAAATACCAAGTTCGATTACGTCGTAAATAACGTAATGATCCGAGCTCATGTCCACATTGATGGCAAATATTACATTTTTTACCTTATTTTAGATGTAATTATTATTGTATTCAAAATAATAATTTAAATATTTATATTAATTATTCAATGAGCTTGTAGTTAGTATATTATATATATAGCTAACAAATATTATATGTATATTTAAAATAATATAAGGTAAAATTATTGACAAAGGAAAAACAAACAATAATTAATTATTTATTACTCTTAACCGGATCAGACTCGGAATTCTAATTTCCTATATAAAAAAAAAAAAAACAGGTGAAGCCAACAATATTTTTTTAATAATTCAGTAGAATGGGCGGAAATTAGAAGTTAAAAAACATTTTTTCATTACGGAAATGTCAATTTAGCATTAAGTTAAGTTGCCTTCATTTTGAAATCAGAACTATGGAAATTTTGCTAATAGTTTCACAGCATTCATTTAATAAAGCAAAACCGAGGCACTGCCTTTAGTTTCCCAAGTCAACTATTGGCTGTTCTAAATACGCATAATGGAAGTAAACGTATCAAAACATCACTAAACACGCAAAGGCAATTAAAATTGTTTTAAAACATGCAAACTCCTACAAGTAATACGTTCCTGCTACTCCAAACAGCGATCGGGGTGTTGGTTAACCAAGTTAAATAGCATACAAGCATGTTCTTCATTCGAGAGTATACGACTGTTGTATACTCTATGTACAGTTGTGCACACATATGAGTGCATTCTCACTCTAGGGAGTAACCGTTCAAATAGTGGAAGCTTTCAGAGTATGTTCGATCTTTTCCCATTCGAGGAATGGGAAGTAGGTGTATTGCTCCCCAATTAATTGCATCAAACATGCTACAGTAGGGTGTCTTTCATTTATCCCAACACGAAATCTAATTCAATTAAGCAAAGTTAATAGCCTCTGCACAACATACGTCACCGTGAATGCAGCCATTGTATGTAATTGATCTTTGCCCACAGATTGCTCTCCGTGCTCTGGCAGTGGTCATTATGTGCGCGAGGCTTTTCAAATTGAATGCGACCGAAGGATTATTCAGCTGCAGCAACAGGCGTGCAGAAATGTCTGCTAGACGCAGCAACGATTGTTTCTCCAATTTTTCACTGCAAATGATCAAATATTTATCGAATTGGGTACTATTCCTAAACATGCACCAACAAAAGTATATTATTTATATTAGATATTATTATTAATTGTAAAAAGACTTCGGCTGAGACATTATTACAAAGTTCTAAAGATAAAGATAAAGTAAGGCTGTTTTTAATTCGTCTATGAAAATACTAAATGAATTCATTGACTGGGACTCGAAAAGCGATCCTCGTGTTTAGTTACCCTCGCCGGGACACTTATGCAGCTCATCAACTGTGGACGGCATGCGCAACAGCTTAATTTACATGAATTTTACTTTTAAGCCAGTAATTGGCATATCATTTATTATAAATGCAGCATAATCTAACGATAAAGTGATAAGGTAACCTAGACAAATGCCTTTATGCTCCTCGCATTTATTTTAGTCAGATTGCGACACTTAAGCGTTGCATTAGCATCGACACCTGCGCATCGATCCGGTTATTGCCTTAACTTTGTTATGCGATTAAAAATAACCATGGCTTCGTCTTCGTCTTCAGAGGAAGCCGGGTAGGTTTAAAGACCTATCCCAAGTTAAAATAGCAAAGCACTAAATTGGCTACAGTAGTTAATGGCGATGGGTAATCATTGGTACTGTTAGTTATACGTAGTTAATTTCGCTTTTTTAGCATTATAACTGGATTCTATACGAATGCGTTTTACAGAATTTTCAATGTGTGCATATAATACAATAAATACATGCATACATGCATATATACAAGCGCAATATGTGCATGGTTGAATTGCTGTTAAGCCATTTTTGGTATTTCTTACAAATGTACATATGTACATACATATATGTATGTATGTGTATATTTTTCGAGCTCCACTTGTCGTGCAAATATTTGGTACCGTTGCATACATATGAACATATTATAAGTAGCATATGCATATACATATGTATATACATAAATACAGGTGTTTAATGACAATCATGTGGCTGTGATTTATGCAAATGGTGCAGCATAACAGCAATAGCCAAGTGCTTGGCAATTTTAAGAAAATGTAGCAAAGCATTAAAGAGACTGGCAGCAGCGGAATACGGACTCGGCGCAGGCAACGCATAATGCAAGTAACCTGCCTTTCTGCAACTTCATTCATTTAATGCGGCTAAAGGTAGGTCCTCAGAGTTTAGCTAAAAAATTTGGTCGACAGCGGAGAGAAGCAGTAGAAGAATAAAAAAAAAGGGGGAAAAAAACACGCTAACCAATAAAACAATTGAGAAGCTGTAAAAACCACAACAAAGAAGAAGAAGTCCGAACTGGTTTTTAACACAACATAACTAAAACAAGTTGAAGCTGTTTATTGAATGTTAATTTAACAGACACTGTTAACCGGTTGGAGTTCGCATTTCATTGGCTTGCAATACGCTGCACCTGCAGATCGCGATCGAATAAATACAGATATGCCAACAGTCCTCGACGTATGAATAGGGTTAGAGAACATTTAAATATTTTGTGGCTACTACCAAGTGCTAAGTGGCAAATATATTATGTTAATAAATCACACTTGTATATTTCTTACATTAACTACATTTACTTAGCTAACACTTGTAATAGAATTATTATTATCAACTATTTCCAACATATATTTACATACACACTGCACACACATTTATAGACACATGCGCATGTACATACTCATTTGTACATAATCCTTTTACTTGTATCACCAGCCAAACAAGTACCAAAACCAGTTTAACACACACAAACCAGATTTCTTAACCGTTTCGAACACAGCGCCCACTTGTTGCCGCAGTGCTGCCATGGTCGCCAAAGTCAGTTCCACGCCAGCTACCTGTGTCTTCAGGTGTTATAATCGTCGTGCGCGCTTACCTCAAATATTTAATACGAGCTCCGCGCTAGCCCCACCAGCTTAACTATGTGTACACAAAACGAACTGTAAAACTAATAAAGAAAAAGCAATCTGGCATTCTGCAACAGTTCGTGGGATTATTAATCAACTAAAATACCTTCTAAATATTGTGGTTTTCTCTGCAAATGAAGGTCTTATATAAAGCTCTGCAATGATGTGCTCATTTTTGTGAAATAAATTATAATTCAAGAAGTTGAAAAGGTAAAAGAGTCAAATAAAAAGTGTGACTAGATGAAATCATCGGTTCGTTATTTGCACCTTAAGAGATTTTACTTTCTATTACCTATATGTTTATAGGTAAAAACCAAAATCCAAACAAACCTGACAATGCAGGAAACGAAATGCAAAAATACATCAAAAGTGAAATCTTCGCGTACAGAATCCAAAAGATCAGTAAATAAAATTAGCATAAAATATGAAAACGTCGCCTCAACTATATATAAAATAGACATCGTTCTAACCAAATACATAATATCAGAATATTATAATAATTGCGTTGGCTTATAATGTGCCTGCACTCTTGTATCTCGGAGACACGGCATTTCCGTCGATTATAATTACAGGACGTCTTGGGTTACTTAGCTGACCTGAATTTCGCTTGGGAAAAGCTACATTATGTTGGGGTTGGCAATTGGGGTCACGTGTGTTGGAGAGCGTTTGCAAATAAACTGCTGTCACATGGGGACTTAGAGAGTCGCCAGACGAACAACATCAACTTGCCACACTACTTTTACTGCCCGCAACCAGAGCCACAGACACAGCCACAGCCACAGCCACAGAGAGTATTGTTGTTGTGCTGCACGTTTCGCAGATTTTTGAGCAGGTTAAAATGATTTTTGGCCAACTGATGTGGGTGCCTGTGTGTTTGTGTGTGTGTGATCGGCCATTGCCATGTTGGCAAAAGTGAAAACCTTAATCTATTCAAATCCTGAATGAATCGGCTGCCGGTGTGATAATTTATACTATATGCCAGGTAGCTTAACGAATATTAATACTTTTTATCGTATTTATGTGATAAAACGAACTCTTATTTCTCTAT